GCGCGTGTTTGGTGTCGGGCAGAGAGACGGAATGTACAGTGTGTCCTTGTTTCTTGAGGTGTGCCAGAGAAAGAGCCCACGCCCGCCGGACTGAGGGAGTTAGCTCAGAAACATTGTACTCCATTGGCACACCGATTCGGAGAGGGGCTGAAGCTAGCCGCGAGGTAAGCTCCGGTGTATGTATAGAGGCTTGGATTCGAGAGCGGGAGGATATTGAGAGACTGGTCGGGTCGCGCTGGTCATGTTGGTTGAGGATATCTAGGCATACTATTAGCACAGTTGTTATCCAGTGACACCGGTCAAAACCTACTAAAAATATCTCGCACATTTGCGGTAGATTTACCCAGTATACCCACGGTATCTAGAGAATTGGCATATGCCACCACGCCCCATCGTGAGATCAGTCCGTATGACGGTTTGAATCCCACTGTCCCGGTATAAGCAGCTGGAAGTCTGACCGAGCCTCCAGTATCCGTTCCTAGCGAGCTGTAAAAGTCAGCAATCAGTCTCCTTGCTGACCCCTAGTCACTTACGCATAGCATTGGTCGGCGGCGACTGAGGCAGCACTTCCACCAGAGCTACCACCGGCCGAGAGGTCTTCCCCGCTGGAATCCCGACGAGGGTTCTTGACAGGACCGAAATGTGAATTGATCGAGTGTGATCCCATCCCAAACTCGTCCATGTTTGTCTTTCCCGCAATAATGGCTCCGGCAGCCTCTAATTGATCAACAACGGTGGCATTGAACGGGCTCGTAAATTTATCCAGGATCCCCGAAGCGCAGGTCGTCGGAAGCTCGCGCGTGCAGATATTGTCTTTGATGGAGATCAAGCGACCGTCTACTGCGGACTTGGGTTTCCCTGATCATATTGGTTAATTCTGAAGTAGAAAATGGAAGTCCGATGTTGCTACCTTCTTCTTTGCGCACATCTGCTTCCTTTACACGGTCTAGCCATGGCCCCGCGCGCGATAGCGGGGTTATGAAGGCATTGAAACCATGTGCATATTGATTAGCGACGCATCTCTCAGCCTCGCGCAATAAGGACATTTAGACGAGTGTGTGAGGAGTTTAGTATAGAAAGGGAGTGGAACGCGAGTTTCCCGGGTCCGTGCTGCTTTCTACGGTTAGCACATTTGAAGATATCCATGGATGTACCTGTATATAGGTATTGGGTACATATATATACTATAGAATTTATAGATCACTTAGAAATAAATAGCCATTGCTCGGATATAAACAAAATTGAACAATTCTAAGTCACCTCGGAGCTAACTAATGTCAACAGTTCCTTCGGGCCGAGCGAAATCGACTAAGACGTCATCCGGATTTACTCGACTCTTTCTCTTCTCCTCCACCTTCTCACCTACCAGCTATGTTCTCACGAAGTGTACTACAGGCGGCCACCCGAAGCGCTCACCCGGCCTCAGCTCGAGCCGTACCACAGGTGCTCGGTAAAGCTCCATTCGGTCGGCGATACATTTCGGTCTATGGCTACACACAGGCAAAGGCTCTCATCTACTCCAAATATGGTGAACCCAAAGATGTCTTGCGGTGAGTCCTCCTAGCTGTAATTGAGCGAATAAAACTGATCAATATAGCCTACACAAGCACTCAATCTCTGCGCCGCATGCAACCCAAGTGAATCTGCGCCTGTTGACAGCGCCGATGAACCCAGCCGACGTGAACCAGATCCAGGGTGTCTACCCCAGCAAACCTCCCTTCTCGACAGACCTCGGAAACGCGGAGCCCGCCGCAGTCGGTGGTAATGAGGGCGCATTCGAGGTACTATCAACCGGTGCGGGCGTCAAGAACCTCAGCAAAGGCGACTGGGTCATTATGAAGCGCACAGGCCTGGGTACCTGGCGTACCCACGCACAGCTGGACGAATCCCAGTTGATCAAAATTGAGAACAAGGAGGGCCTAACCCCGCTACAGGTTGGCACCGTCAGCGTCAACCCCGTCACTGCGTACCGTATGCTCCGGGATTTCTGCGAATGGGATTGGATGCGTGCCGGTGAGGAGTGGATGATCCAAAACGGTGCCAACAGTGGTGTCGGACGAGCAGCTATCCAGCTGGGTCGGGAATGGGGAATTAAGACTCTCAATGTCGTTCGACAGCGCAAGACACCCGAAGAGACCGAGGCTCTCAAGAAGGAGCTCCTGGATCTGGGAGCTACCGTTGTTATCACCGAGGAGGAAATGCTTACTGGTAACTTCCGGGATATGGTTCACGAGTTCACCCGCCAGGGCCGGGAGCCCATTCGTCTGGCGTTGAACTGCGTAGGCGGGAAGAATGCCACTGCTTTGGCAAAGACTTTGGCTCCTGATTCGCACATGGTGACCTACGGAGCCATGTCAAAGCAACCTATTGCGTTGCCCTCGGGCTTGCTGATCTTTAAGAACCTTGCGTTTGACGGATTCTGGGTCAGCAAGTGGGGTGACAAGAACCCCGAGCTGAAGGAGAGCACCATCAAAGATGTGCTACAATTGACTCGGTCTGGAAAGTTCCGGGATATTCCCGTGGATGAGGTCAAGTGGGACTGGGAGTCCGAGGGCTCGGAGTTGGCAGAGAGTGTGCAGGGCACTTTGGGCGGCTACCGCAGTGGGAAGGGCGTGTTCACCTTCAACGGCGGTGATTAAGTGAACAGCCAATATGGGTGTATTATACAGCTAGGTGGATTTTTCTCGATTTACAATATGGGTCCAGAAACTAGGAATAGATTGTAACAAAATGAACTGCTAGAAAGTATACATATCAACACTTCCAATTCTTCTTCACCCAATCAAGAATCAAGTTTGTGAGAGTCATGTGCGGCATGTATACATCACTTTCCTTTGCAATGTCGACATCGAAACCAGCAAACTTGGCGGCCAATATCACCTTGCTCTCTATGAAATCAAGGTAGACCATATCCACCGTCTTTGGTGTCTCCGATGCATTGGCAGTTATGAGAGTTTGAATACAGTTTGGCACACGGTAAAATGAGATGGGTGAATGTATGGTATCATCACCATCTGTGCCCGCATCATCTTTTGTCGTGTAACCGGGTACGAGGTCCGGACCTGACATGAGGATTTGCTCGCCGGATGAAGGCCAGTTTTGAGCAATCACGTCTTCTGGATATGCAAGTTGCTCGAGGGGGCCCAAGGTTGTCAATGAAGATTCATCTGTAGATAAAATTTGAGGCTGCTCGTTCAAAACCTCGACAATAAGCTGTGCCTTGTCATATGGGACATCTTTCACATAGCGGAAGGTGCTGGTGAATGGCGAGATAATAAAAGTCGAGTCTTGGGTAAAAGGCCCCTTGAAGATATCGAACCTGATGGCACCCGTATTAACAATGGCTAGCCTAGGCGTGTCACCACGTGACGCATCCCTCACGTCGCCTAAAACCTGAGTCTCAAGCCAGGTGTAGATGTTGTTAGGGTCTGAATACTTGGCTCGTGACATCCATAGATCATGGGGAGCGCATCCATGGACGGTGTCTAGCTGAAGGTCGGTCCGTGCTTTTGCGATCAATCGGGAGACATTGAGGCCTTTTTCGGTTGGGAAGGTCTCTTTATCAAGACCGGTATGATGATAATAAGAAAAAAGATTGCTGTCAATGTACCTGCGCTTGAAGACGGGTCCAACGGCAGACTGATGACTGGCTTTGCTGGCGAGACCATCGATTGACATGAAGCCAACAGTTTCCATGAATCGGCCGCTCGCCAGCCCAAAGGCTTTGGAATCATACTGCGCATAGTCACGTATATGCTGGTGTCCTCCAAAGAATTGGATTGGAGTATCCCAACGAATTCCTCGGATCGCCTTGAAGATCGTCCGGTATTCGGGTGAATGAACAGGCACATGGCCGATCACCAAAAACAAATCCACTTCTTTATCCCGAATGGCTTCTTGGAACCAATCCTCTTTGATAGTAGAAGATACTCTCTGGACTACAGTGTTGTTGTAATTCCCGTTGAAATCAAAGAGGAAGCCAAACGCTACTATACGAATGCCTTGGTTCTTGGTAGTGAACTTCTTAAACCGTGGGGCCAGAGGCACAAGTTGTTTCGTGGTCGGGTGAATGATATCGATATTCGAAGCCAGATAGTTGCCCCGGAAATTAGGAACGGTGACTAAAAGCTCAGCCTCCGATGTGTTTTGCTTGTATAGTTCATGGTTTCCCGATGTTAACAGGTCAATGTGCTGGTGTCGGAAGATATCTGAAAGGTAGATACCCTTGGGCTCGGACGAATCATATAGGCCGTTTCCTTCGACCCGATCACCAGTATCTATAACGAGTAGATCTTGTCCTTGTGCTTCTGCCTTTTCCCGCATGCGCGTCGTAAACGATATATAGTCTCCCCAGTCCGCGGAGTAGGATGGTCTGTAATTATTAGTACAACTCGAAGCTTGGCAGGGTGTAAAGCCTACTCCTGCAGATGGCCACCCAGCCAGCCATGGGTATCAGTAGTATGGAGGAAATTCAGTTGTCCGAAATCAAGGGCTCGCAGCGGAGCGGAGATAGGGTCGGGTGAGGAGGGTTGAGCGGCGAGTACCGACGGAAGTAGCCATAGCAAGGACAGCATCAGTACGAACATTAATACACCCTTGGGAGGGTATATAAAAGCATAAATTTACAGTAATAAAATATATAAAAGGTGTTAAAACGATCTGGAAGGGAGCTCGTAGTTATGCAAGTAAAAGTTGATAGCTCACAGACGGCCAAGTCAAAACAAAACAATGTGTGACCTCAGGTTGAGCTCTCTCCAATTCTGTATGGTTACAGTTACAGTACCGGTGAGATCTGATATCACGTGTTGCCCAACATCTTCGGATTTGCATCTCAAAGATTATTCGGACTGGCGATAGGTTTCCCTTGGGTATTCACTTTTTATCTTCTCTCCGTTCTCATATTCAATTGCTTTTGCGGTCCGGTTAGGTCTGCGATCTTTAATTGAATACTTTTTTCTTTTTTTTGTTTTTCGTCTTCTCAATTCGATCATATTTCCGCAATGGCAGCTCCCCGACTTTTCCGCCCAACAGCCCGTCTGTTCTCCTCGCGCCTTGCTTCTACTGCTCTGCGCTCGAACCTCCGCCAGTCCGCCTGTGCTCCTTCAATTCTGCGCCGCGGATATGCCACCGAGAACGGCAACGGCACCAAGCAGGTCACCGTTCGCGATGCCTTGAACGAGGCCTTGGCAGAGGAGTTGGAACTCAACCAGAAGACCTTCATCCTCGGTGAGGAAGTTGCACAGTACAATGGAGCGTGAGCAACACTTCAGAGATCCAGTTGAATCGAAACCGACGCTGACATTCCGCTTTTACAGATACAAGGTGACGAGGGGTCTACTCGACCGTTTCGGTCCCAAGCGGGTTATCGATACTCCCATCACAGAGGCCGGCTTCTGTGGTATCGCCGTTGGTGCTGCTCTCGCTGGTCTGCACCCCATTGTGAGTATTTCTGGACATGAATGTTGATCCAGGACCGCATGCTAATCGCTCATGATCTAGTGCGAGTTCATGACCTTCAACTTCGCCATGCAGGCCATCGATCAGATTATCAACTCCGCTGCTAAGACTCACTACATGTCCGGTGGTATCCAGCCTTGCAACATCACTTTCCGCGGCCCCAACGGTTTCGCCTCCGGTGTCGGCGCCCAGCACTCCCAGGATTACTCCGCCTGGTACGGCAGCATTCCTGGCTTGAAGGTCGTCTCCCCTTGGAGCGCTGAGGATGCCAAGGGTCTGCTCAAGGCTGCTATCCGTGACCCCAATCCCGTTGTCGTTCTCGAAAACGAGTAAGATTTCATCCACTTGTTTTGCTTGATTTTGCGCGAACTAACCAATGTTAGGCTCTTGTACGGCCAGGCTTTCCCTATGAGCGAGGCTGCCCAGAAGAACGACTTCGTCCTGCCCATCGGTAAGGCCAAGATCGAGCGCCCCGGAAAGGACCTTACCATCGTCTCTGTGTCTCGCTGTGTTGGTCAGTCCTTGACCGCCGCCGCCGAGCTCAAGCAGAAGTACGGCGTTGACGCTGAGGTTATCAACCTGCGCTCCATTAAGCCTCTCGATGTTGAGACCATCATTGCCTCCCTCAAGAAGACTGGCCGCATCATGGTCGTTGAGTCTGGCTACCCCATGTTCGGTCTTTCATCCGAGATCCTGGCTCTGTCCATGGAGTACGGCTTTGATTACCTGACTGCCCCTGCCGTCCGTGTTACCGGTGCTGAGGTTCCTACTCCTTACGCCGCTGGCCTTGAGGCCATGGCCTTCCCCCAGGAGGACACCATTGTCACTCAGGCCGCCAAGCTTCTGCGCCTGTAAGCCAATAAATGAGGGCGAGTGAGAAGCTCGCAATAATATAGCTATGTGACTAGTACCCTTTCATCTGTTCCAACTTATGTCGTTGTTTTATTCTGTTTTTGTTATCCAACCGTTTTAGACAGTCTTTTGGAAAGCATGTACCATTACATCCAGATCAGGACCAGCGTAAATGTGCTTAAACGGCTTAGATGGAAATTCATTGCTGCCCAGTAACTGAAAAAGGAAAAAAGGATATCCATACATGTACCATCCAACGCCGTCGCATATTTGATACTCAACTGATTGCAAGTCATTTCCAGCATCCACGATATCCATCAGACCTTTTGAGCAGCACACCCAGCAAAACAGTCCGTTGGCCGGCGAGGATCATAATGTCCTTCTGGGCCATATTCCTCATCGGTGTCACTTTCGACATCGCCATTTTCACTCTTTTGTGGTCTGCCCACATCTGATGGATTATCGTCTTGAGCTTTGGGGCTATTATCTTCCTCGTCGTCTCCTAGAACGTTCTTCTTGACCGGCGCTGCAGGGGTCGCTGTTCCCTTGATAGTGGCGAATGAGCTTTTGAAACCTCCCTTCTTGAAACCCGTTCCTCCTCCACTTGGTATCACATTTTCCACAGTCTCAATGACTTTCAGACCAGCTTGGGCATCGGCTTTACGTTCTGCCCGGCGGTTCTTCTCCACAGCATTTGGATCACGTGTTAACTGCTTAAGATCCTGCAGACGCTTTCTGTGCTGGTGGTCGTATGAGCCAATATGTGCCTCATATTCCGGATGGCGGGAGTAAGATTTATTGCAGAGGGCGCAGGTGAAGGAGCTGAGCGCAGACCGCGCTGACTCGGTCTATAATATTCCCAGGTTAGCTTGGCGATAACAGAGATAGTGGAGCTGGAGGAATCATTACCCTAGGAGCGGGATTCGTTGATCCGCGCTATATTTGTTAGCCGATGCACCATATTTGGACCAAAAAGAAGAGCATACCGGTGCCATTGTTCCTCAACTGGAGCTTAGGTGATGTTCGCAGAAACAGCGTGTCGTACGGCGGGGCATTGCGACCATGTGCGTATTAATAACTGACGTGGAGCATACCTGCATTTACGTCTGGGGTTTCAATATCATGCACTCTTTTTTAATAATTACCTATGTATGTAGCTATTTGGATGATAATTTAGGAATAGTAGATATTTGCACTTTATGCAATAACATTGTATTGCTAACCCGGCAAACTATACTCCGTAGTAAAATTACATATATATATACCGAGTCACCTGACCATGGACCCTGGGCAATCCGTCGTCATTCCACCTAGCCTTGAAAAGTTACCCGCAGAGAAACGGGCCTATCACAGCTGCCGTATTTTCGCGACTCAGCTATCCTCACCCCCAACATTTCCCTGCTTTTTCCCAGTTTGCCTATGCAAGTATGGATGCATGACTGACGAGTAACTTTCTTACGAATTTCATTTTTGCGCTGTTCCAAAACCCTCGGAAACCCCAAAATATCAAAAATCATACAATGCCGTCCCACACGCTCTCCGAACCAGAGGATATTGACGCGAAATCTATCCTCTCCTTGCAAGAATTAGACCCCTCGCCTGTCCATGATGTCCCCGATGTTGAAAGCGGCGAATACTTTCCTAGGGCCACATCTCCCACGCTACATGGAGCTGGGATTTCGATTCCCAAACTAGGCCTTAGTGGGCATCGCTGGGATTCATGGCGTATGTCTAGCAACAAAAGCTGAATTATATCTTCTAACCACAATGATTATTTAGTAACCGGTATTCAAAAATACGCAACCTACCCACCTACGGTCTTCTTCATTCTACATCTCGCCAACACCTCTCTTATCCCACTCGTGACTCGCTCCGTCCCCGCCAGCGAAACCTACCTTTTGCTCACACGACCGGTATACCAGGCCCCCGGGCTAGAACATATTGTCTTAACAATTCCTATACTTGCGCATATTGCCTCGGGAATTGCTCTCCGCAACACTCGTGCTGCGCGTAGAGCACGTCTGTATGGTGCCGAGACTCGCGCACAGCGAAACACGTTATATTTCTGGCCGCAAATGTCTTTACAGACACGCACTGGGTACTTTGTTGCGCCACTGATTGGATTCCACGTATGGGTCAACCGTGCCACGCCATTGATTGTCGAAGGAGGAAGCTCCGGTGTGGGGCTTGGGTATATTGCCCATGGATTTGCTCGGAGCCCTGTGTTCTGGAATGTCTTCTATTTCTTCTTTGTGACTGCCAGTGTGTGGCACTTCGTTGGTGGTTGGGCAACCTGGATGGGCTGGAGAGTGACCACAGCGCGCAAGGAGCGGGGCCAAAAAGGCTCGCTGGATGGCTACCTTGGATTTACAGAAACAAAGTCGAAGAGACAGCGCAAGATGTGGTGGGTTGTCAATGGAATCGCCGCCGCTGGTGCGGCTCTCTGGCTTGGAGGTGCTCTCGGTGTTGTTGGACGTGCCGGTGAAGGCGCGGGTTGGGAGGCCAAGGGGTGGAATGAGATGTATAGTCAGGTCCCGATTATTGGGAAGTGGCTGTGAGAGATTTTCATGATCGTACATATTATATAAACTTAATCCTAATGTATAAAAAGAGGCTGAAGACATCATGAAAATCTTTCTTTTTACCATATAAACATAAAAGCTTGTCCTCTGATATCACCACGATAATCGCATGTGATGTACTACATGCATCTAGAGCTTCCTGGTCTCTTCGATGCTTTTATAATACTACATGGGTGTACGGAGTACTGTTTGTAGTTGATATATAAATTACAAAACTGGTATCGCTGTGTACTGCAAACATGGTCCGTGCGTAGAATCTTTTTCTCCGTCGCATTCAACATCTCTTGCGACATGCTGTGAAAGGCTTCGCTCATGAACCCCTCGTTGATTTTTGGTTCAGCAACGAAATGCGCTAGGCGAAGACTCGTTCCTCCTCTTATCATCGCCCAATTCCCCCGCTTGACCCCCGCTTCGATCCGATCTTGTGTCCGATTCTTTTCCACTTCTAGAGCCATGGAGGATCCTAAGATCCAGCTGGTGGAATACCAGGGAAATCAATACCATGTCGTCAAGGAAGGGTTGGCGAAGATTCTCAACCCGCCTGCCCAAGAAGCCGCTTCCAAGGGAACGAAGAAGGATCTCAAAGATGACGACCAAATGCAATCCGTCTTCTATAACCCGATTCAACAATTCAATCGCGACCTCAGTGTGCTAGCCATTCGCGCTCATGGAGAACATATCATCGACCTGAAGAAACAGAAAGCGGCCCAGAAGCTGAAGAGGCAGGCAGGCAATGGGGAAAAGAAACGGAAGCGTGAAGACGACCAGACAGAGAACCCGAGGCCTGCCCCCAACGCAGAACACAAGGAAAACACAGAGACCAACGACCAGCCGGTTTCCGCTGCCCCAGTTGACCAAGAACCACAATCAGAAGCCCGATTAGAGCAACCCGCACCTTCTTTCACTGTTCTTGATGCTTTGTCTGCAACTGGGCTGCGCGCTCTTCGCTATGCTTCGGAGCTTCCATTTGTCACAAAAGTTGTGGCTAATGACCTGTCAGAGTCAGCAATCAAGTCCATGAAGAAAAACATCGACTACAACAATCTCAAAACGATTAAACCCAATCTGGCCGATGCTCGAGTTTACATGTATGGGCTTGACAACGCGAGCAAGTTCGACGTCATTGATTTGGATCCATACGGCACAGCTGCTCCATTTATGGATGCCGCAGTTCAAGCAGCCAAAGATGGTGGCCTTTTGTGTGTTACTTGCACTGATGCTGGCGTCTGGGCCTCGACTGGTTATTCAGAAAAATCTTTCTCTCTGTACGGTGGTATCCCCATCAAAGGCCTCCACTCCCACGAGGGTGGCCTGCGATTGATTTTGAATGCCATTGCTATGTCCGCAGCTAAGTATGGAATGGCTATCGAGCCATTATTGTCTCTATCTATTGACTTTTACGCTCGTGTCTTTGTTCGGGTCTACCGATCTCCCGCACAGGTCAAATTTACAGCAGGCAACACGATGCTCGTCTACAATTGCGATGTCGGCTGTGGCGCATGGACAACGCAATTCATTGGTTGTAACAAATCCAAAACGGACCGCAAGGGAAACCCCATATACAACCACACCCTGTCCCAAGGGCCCACAGCCGGACCTCACTGCGAGCATTGCGGCACAAAAACACATCTTGCAGGACCCATGTGGGGTGGCCCGCTACACAATCCTCAGTTTATTCAGAAAATCTTGGACATGCTTCCTGGAGCTGATCCCGAGACATATCAGACCTGTGCTCGGATTGAGGGGATGTTGACCACTGCCCTCGAAGAAGACCTGGACCTCACACCATCTCAATTCGAGTCATCTACTCCCAAACGACCTGTGCCGAGCACAAAGCACCATCATGATCCTGCATACCCTGCCATCATTCCTCGAATGGACGTCGCCGCTCAAGAAAAATACCCTTTCTACTTCTCAATCAGTGCTCTCGCAAAGGTTCTCCACACAACCACCCCTCCAATCGACGATTTCCGCGGTGCTCTCAGCCACCTCGGATATCGCTCTACTCGCAGCCACACCAAGCCAAACTCAATCCGCACAGATGCGCCCTGGGAGGTGATTTGGGAGGTCATGCGCGAGTGGGTCCGTCAGTGGTCACCTATCAAGGAAACTTCCTTGAAGCCCGGAACCGCTGGTGCTGCGATTATGGGCAAGAGTCGTGAAAACCTGCGTAAATTGAGCGACGAAGATCAATGGTTATCTCTTCTCAAAAAAGATCTGATGTCTGCCGTTGAGGCTGGCAGAGATATTAGTGACTTGGTCACTAAGGTTGAAGCTGCTCTCTATCGGTCTGGATCGCGAACCTCCTGGAAAAGTGCTCCTGCTTCTGCAGAGAAGAGCTCCGATGCTGATCCCCAGCCTGTACCGGAAAAGGCACCTGCACAGCCCTTCAAGCGACCCCATCCTAGCACGCTTGAGGTGGTATTTGACGACGCTCTAGGCCGTGAGGTGTCTGCTGTGCATACGAAGAAACGACTTGTGCGGTACCAGCTCAATCCCCGTGCTAACTGGGGTCCCCTCAACCGTGCGGGGCGATAATAATGTTCAAATATCCCTGTCCATATATAGAAAAAAATCCTCTGTACGTTCCATGCTTTTTATCATCAAACTTATTGGTACATCGGAATGTTCCATTGCGTCTAGTTTCGCTTATATCAATTGGGCCTCGTAAGCCAGATAGATCAGATCATTGAAGTCTTACGTTGTCAAGGACAAGTCTTTTGATGATTAGTTTAATCTAAGTACATATAATATTTTAAGTCTGAATAACTTCAAAAGCAAAACAGCAGTATATTTCTTACCAAGAACAAGGCATGAAATAAGAAGAGAAGAAAATAATATTAAAATGCGAACTGAAACTCATATACATGCACGTAAAAACTCCAAGGCTTTGAGACATATCACATAATGACCCATGAAACAAAAAAAAATGGTCTATCAAAAACACAACATTATCGAGAGGATATCAACATAATTAGATTGATCATTTAGCAACGGTTTCGTTGCCCTCTTCGTATTTTTCCCAGTTCGCCAAGATAGAGGCAATGCGGGGGGAGTTGGTGAGCCTGTAGACATCCTCGAAGTATTCCTTGGTGATCTCGAAGGGACGGGCAGTGACGTTGGGGATGTACTTTCCGATCAACTTGCTGGGATCGATAGTGGTCTTGTTGATCTTCTTCAGCAAGAAAGAACGGAAAGGCTTCACACCAGAGCGCAAGAAGGTGCTGTGGAAGGGCACATCGATACCCTTGAGAGGAATGGTGGCGAAACCACGCTCCAGGGCGATAGGACGGGGCTTGGCCTCGGTTTGCTTGACACATTCCTGGATGATGCTGACCAGGTGCTCCTTGACGTCTTCCAAAGACATGCTCTCCATAAGAGCAGGAATGTCAATGTTCTGTGCTTTCAAGAAGTTCAGCAGGTTGGTGAGGCAGTCAAGAGCACGGAGGTCACCAGCGGCGACGTATTGCATGTTGGCAACATTGTAGTTGACAATCTCCAGCAGCCAGCCAGTGGTCTCGGAAATGTTCTCAACAACGTACTGCAGTGCCTGCTCGTTGAAAGTCTTGGAGATACGGCTGGGGTTGACAGCGCACATGGAGTAGTTGGAGCGACCCTGTGCATCACGCTCGACGGCGACTTGCATGGTCAGACCACGGTAGAACACGACAGACACCAAGCTCTCAATGGGCATGACATCAGCCAGAGCGGCCAGAGCCGAGTATTCACCAAGCGAGTGGCCAGCGAAGCTGCTGTCGCGCTGCACCAGGCCCTTGGCACGCATGTCCTCAAAGCTGGCCTTCTCCATCAGAGTCAAGGCTGGCTGAGTGAACTGGGTGGCGGAGAGCAGACCGGTGGGAGATCGGTAGGTGTACGAGGCGGTGTTCTCATCGACCTCCTTGAAGATCTTCTCAGACTTGATGGAGCCGTCTGCGTTCACCGACTCGAAGGTCATGGCCATGTAGTTCTCCCGGATGGCCTTACCACGAGGACCACCGAAGTAGACTGTCAACTCCTTGGGGTTGTTCTTGACGATGTCAATAATGGAAAGACCGTAGTTCTCCATGAAATGGCGATCAGCCCGGTCCCAGACCTCCTGGGCCACTGGGCTGGAACCATACAGCTCCATGCCCATGCCCTGCTCCTGGGAGCCCTGGCCAGTGAAGACGTAGGAAGTGACTGGCTGCTCAACCTCGGCCTCACCCTCCAGAACCTTCTCTTCGGTGTCCTTGTTGCTGGCTTCGACCTTGATGATCTTGCGACCAGCAATCATGCCGACATGCTGCAGCTTGACAGTGATCATGTCGTTGGGCAGAACCATGCCGACCAGTGAGACTTGGAAGCCACGAACACGGCCAATGTTGTTCTCGGCGGCCCAAGTCTCGACAAGGCTGCGAACAGCGGCACTGCTGTACATACCATGGGTGATGGTTCCGGGCAAGTTGGCGTAGCTGGAGAAGACGCGCGACACGTGGATGGGGTTGTAGTCACCAGACACGCGGGCATAAGTCTCGTTGGAGGCCGGAGCACGCAGTTCCAGAGCGGTCTTGCCACTGAGCGGGATGGGGTTTTCAAAGTAGACCGGCTGCTCAATGGAAGTTCCGTTACGCTGGAGGTAGTCAATCACGGGGTTGCCGTGCGACTCACCTGCCTCGTATTCGACAGACGCAACTTGGACGACCTCCTTGGTGGGAAGCTCGAGAAGAACCTGTCCAACGGTCTGGACGTTGCTGAAGACAGTGGTGTTCTTGAAACGGATCAAGCTCTGCAAGCGGAAGGTCAGGGTTTGGCCCAGAAGCTCATGGTCAGATTCGTCCATGCGGAACCATTCCTTCGAACGGAGGATGGCGACATCCCGGCTGGTTGCGAGGTGAACCTGAATGGGGACCTCATCCTTGCGCTGGAAGGTGTTCTCATAGTCGGTGTAAGCACCCCGGTACAGGAACTGACTGGTGACATGCATGATGGCTTGGTTGTCTCGCTTGATAGTGCCGCAGACCTCGACCATCTTACCAGAATCCTGGTTGATGACAGAGTTAATCTGAGCAGTTGTATCCAGGACATCGCCAACCTTCAGGGGCTGGGCGCCGGGCACCATCTTGAATCCGTTGGACAAGTGGACAAGCTTCAGCAAATCTCCATCAATGGTGCGAGGGAAGATAGGCTTGGTGATTGCCTGCCAGCCTGCCACGATGGCAAAGTCCATAGGGGCAAAGACCTCCTTGCCAGGACGGTCAACGAAAGCCTCGCCGGTGTTGCCAACTGCGTGAACGAAGTCGGCAACATCCTGGGCAGTGATGGTCTTCTGGCCACCACTGAAGGTAGCAGTAGTGGGGGTGTCGAAGGGCACGTCCTTGTTGCCGAACCAGATCCGGTAGTAGAACTCCTTGATGCGATCGTTACGGTCACCCATAACCTCACGGATAGGAGCATATCCAGTCTCGGGGTGATAGGTGAACAAGAAGTTCAGAGGGACAACGCCATTCTCGGCGGTGCGGCCCTCGAACAGGGTCAGACTAACCTGTCCCTTCTCGTTGATCTTGGCCTCGACTGTCTTGACCAACTTGCCAGACTGGTACGGTTCTCGCACGCTGATAACAGTCTTGGCAGGATCATTGGGGTTGGCTACTTCGACATACATGCCTGCGGTGGGAGCGACAATTCGCTTCATGGGGTTGGACTGGAAGCGGTGGCCCTGAACGAAAACATCGGCCAAGAACAGAGCATGTCTCCAAGAGTAGGCGTTGCCGGCGAGAAGACTGAGCCAGCGGTCCGAGTCTGGCAAGGCTGCAGTGGAAGACAGGCGGAAAGTGGTCTTGCCCGGCTCTTCCGAAATAATCAAACCATCCGATTCCTGCTCGGTGGTGTTCATAAGGTGCCCACCGAAGTACTCAATGACAGGAATCTTGGTGCTGTCACCACCGTAAACATCACGGAGGAGGCCAGCAATGTGCCCCTGGTGAACACCATCAAGAATATCCTTAACAGGCTCATCAATGATGTTGGAGTAGCGGGCAGCCATAGGACCCTGAAGAATACAGGTTCGGCCGACATCTTGATCGACAACAGCCTCAAGATCCTCGCTCTGCCACAGAGAATCCTTCTTGAAGAAGAATTCGAAGTTCTCATCCAGTACGGGGACGAAAGGCACGGGCTTCTGGCCGCGCTTCTGGCAGAGCAGTAGGAAGTGCTGGACATCCTGCGCGTTGATCAGCTGATCGGCAGCTTCGGGATAAGCAGCCAAAATATTGTCAATGGTAGGGTAAGGGGTATCAATGTCGGAATAACTTTGGAGCAGCGATGCCTGGCCGTCGGCAGTAGTGAAACGCTCTTCGACGCGACGGATGAAGTCACCCGTCAAGCGCTTGAGCGAGGGATCGATCCATCGCGACTCGTGCTTGATGTACATGAGGTCCACCATGCGGTGAACAACCTCGGCATAAGTCATATCTTCCAAATCCACAGTCTCACCTGCAGCGTTGCGACCGAACCAGACCTTGTGGAAGTCATCATTCAGCTTCTTGATGATGTAGTCCCGTTGCTTCTTCAGTTCAGGGATACGCTTAGCCTTGTCGAGCTTGAAGATCTTCTGATCCATCTCCTGCCAGAACAACACACCGCGAGTGGCAAGCTTGTGGATAGGCTCACCCATCTCGGACAGAACAGTGATCACACCACCTGTGGATTTCTGGTAGGTCTTCTCCCATTCCGCGTCGTCCACACCAGGGGCATCGGCAATTGCCTTCTTGGCATTATAAGAGGTGTGTGCCTCCTTCGCGATCATCATGCGAGACCCAAAGAGACAGCCGTCGAAAGGCATAGGAGGGTAGCCAAACTTAGCGGACCACGTACCCGAGAGGTAAGGGTAAGTGTCTTCCGAGCCACCGAAGCCACTGCCGGCAACAAGAACAATGTTATCTTGCTTGCGAATGCGGCTGTACATCTGGAGCATGGGCTGGTGGAAGTCCTCGAAAGAGTGGTGACCACCGCCACGACCACCGGTCCACTGAAGGATGATGGGGAACTTGGGGTTGGCCTTGGCAATATTGATGACTTGCTGAATCGCATCGACGGAGCCAGGTTTGAAGGCAATGTGCTTGATACCAAGAGTTTCAATGTATTCATTGGCAACTTCAATAGATGGCACACCAGCACCAATGGTCAGACCCTCAATCGGCACGCCTTCCGCGCGCAACCGACCGATCAACGGAATCTGCCAGGCCATCGCACGGGGGTTGACATAGATCAAGTTAATAGTAATTCCACGACCAGGAGGAATGACCTTCTCAATCTTGGTAATGGCCTCCGTCATTGTCTTAGCATTGTAGTAACCACCACCACCGAGCTCGATGTGATAACCAGCGTTCATAGTAGCAGCCACAAAGTCCCAGGCAACGGTGGTGGGAGTCATACCAGCCACCATGACCGGGGGAATTCCCAAGAGACGGCTCATCTTAGTGTCCACATAGGTTTGACCAGTAGATGTCCGTGTGAGACGAGGGCCGTGTTCCTTGACCCAGTCCACGGCAAACTTGACA